TATCTCGGGAAGTGTTTTGAAATACACCCCTATTTTGAAAATCTCGCGAAAACAAGCAAAAAATACCCCCTTTTCTACGATTTTCTCGGGAAAATGTTCCCGAGACAGATCGTCAAAAAGTACCCCCTTTCCCGAGAAAATGGGAACGCGCATGCGGCCCCCTATGGATCCTGAGTGGGGGGGCCGGGGCCGTAGGTCGGATCCCCCTTTGTTTTGTGGTCTCATGGTCTTAGAACTACAAAATGGTACATACCGGTAGTATACCCTATTCATTCTATTGAAAGCACATCTCCAATAGAAGAACATATTCATCAAAAATTTGTTGTATACTGAATCATTCAAATAGTTTTATTTAAAAGGTAAAGAATAATCAAATGAAAAATGAACAAAATTGTTGATTTATGCAGAAAAAAAGATGCCAGTTATAAGCTAAACCCCAAAACAACCACAAAACAATATTATACTTCTCTGATTTTTGTCACAGTAGAAAAAGTCTAGTCAATACCGATTTTTTTGATGTAATAAAAAGCACAATTGGTGCTGGATTACACATTGTTTCCCCTTCAAATAATCTTGATAATACACCTGCACTCTTGAAATGCCTTCAAAATCATTCTTTTCTATCAATCAAAATGGGCAAGCTATCAATTGTTACACTATGTTTTATCATTGTAGATTTAGAAACAAATTCCAGGCAAGAGTGAATTATTAAAATAAGGAGCACAGTCTCCCATAATGCATTGCAGAGCTTATATGCTGCTGGAGAAGCAATATGCACAGTTTCAAAAAGAACCTCCATGGGTAAGTGTAATATTAGTTTTTAGTTTATGCTTGTATGCTTTTTTATTGTTACTGGTCAATGATTGTTTGTTAAAGCGGGAGAGTTGTCACCTGCGCATGTGTCAGATGGCCATAGCGTGTCATTGTTTACAAACAAGCGTCTACCCATGAGCCTTTGCGTTTTTAGCGTGTGTTTTTATTGTCGTTTGGGACTCAATTCCCGCGCGTGCCCAGGTGACGACCCTCTCGCTTTAAGTCAATTTGTTAGTAAATTAACAATGCACCAAATGCTATATGCTCTTTGTGGTAGATCACTTCATTTTAGTATTTTTGTTACAAGTCTTGATCAAAATTTTTGAAAAAATGTTTAAACAAATTATGCAGGTTTGTTTTGTGAAAGGTGACAAAAGTGACATTTGAAGAGTTAATGAATTGTTTGTTGTAGGGCATTGAAGCATTTTTCACCGATGATAGTAACTTCTTTGAATGGACCATTAAGATCCGGGGATTAAAGGATACTTTGTGGGAAGGTGAGTGAATTGGTTGAATTTTTTGTGTCAAAAGTGTTAAATAATTATGGATTGGACAAAGTATTAATCAGAATTTTCCAGTACACCGTGACAACTAAAATTACCCAACTTATAAACTACATATGGTTTTTTCACCATATGTAACCAAACAAGATTTTGAGATGTGAGGAGAGCTTTTCACCATAGCAACTGATAGTAAATGGTTAAAAATGATCCATTTTTATGGATGTTTACTCATTCTTTGTGAGACAAGTAGTTCGGTGACCACTTTTTTATTATCTGAATTTTGTAAACAACATCATAAGGTCATAAACAATATTGTAAAAAATGGAAAAATCTAATGATAAATATAGTTTAATAGTAGCCAACTAGCTTAAAAGTTGAATTATTGGTTTAATTTTGTTTGTAGACTTTACATATAAAGTACTGTAGAATACTTTATTTTCACTTGGAATTAATTTTGCTATTTTCACTAAAAGAATGATTCATTGAAAATAAAATCCAGCAAATATATCGTTGTTTCTAAATTTTACATTCAACTCATGAACAATCAATGAAAATAAATTCCATACAAAACACTCAAAAAGTTTTTTCCGTGAAAATTAATTCCAGCTAAAATAAAGTATTTCACAGTAGTATGTATGTACCATACACCAAATGCAATTATGGTATTCACCAGATATATGGGTCTAAAGATACCTGGTATCCGGCTCAGTAACCGACACACACTCAGGAACAGTGTAAATAATAATTTTGGTTTCAGATGATGTGTTACTGACTTTCAAATCTTATAATACAACTTTAATGTTTGATGTGAAGTTGTGGATAGGGAGTGACCATTTGAAATTATGGGGGTGGGAAGATGTTGAGAAAACCCACTGGTCACCCCCCCCCCCATGTTTTCAGATGGTTGACTCTTTATACACATTTTCTTAATGTAGTGCAAGTAATGAATTGTATCTCATTTTATCTCATGTCAGGTGGTATCTTTACTGTGCATGTGAAATTTACTGAAAACTACAATGCTGTTCCACCTTCTGTATATTTCCACACAATACCATTCCATCCAAACAGTAAGTATTGCTTACTGTAATGTGTTATTAAATGTAATGCAACTGTACAGGAAACATTTACATAATTGCCATTCTTCAAAACTAGAGCACCTTGAATGCAGTACAGACCTTAGAATGAGAGGGACAGGCAACTACAGTATCCAATACAATTAACTATTATCGGTAAACATGTGTTTATTTATACTGTCAATGAACCTCATGAAATCCTGCAAAATGCACGAGTTCTTTCTGCAAGATTACCGAAAGACAGTCATGAATATGATATTGTATGTTAATGATTTCCCAATAATCATCAAAATGACAGCGGTTTCAAATGCCAAAGTAAAACCTGGACTAAAACACACCAATGTATTCTGAAAATCAAAATATAATAATATATAATAAGGTTAGTTTATACACAAAACAAAATTAAAAAATGGTAATGAAAACAAGTTGGTTTTGCCATTTTGGTGGTTTCTTGGCTGTTAGGATTTTTAAGTGCCGACTAAAACATGCCACCATTCATGAAAATTGTATGCATGCAAAACTTTTACTTCTAAGCCCAAATTGGTACTGTGAAATTCTGGGTGAGGCCACGCTGGAATTACCTGAAAGTGAAACTCAAAAGTCTGAAATGATGTATCTTTGGTGCTAGAAATATTACAATATATAACATCCATACCATTAACATAGTAAAATAGAAGTACATCATGTGATTAATTTTGACACATTATATCATACAACATTATTTTTATGTTTACTTATTTTCAGTTGACATGGTAACAGGCAAGCCGTGCATTAATTTTTTAGATAACATTGAGTTATGGAAAGAAACATACAGTGTGGAGTTCATATTGCTTGCAGTTCAGGTAAGACACTATTATCTGTGTACAAACTTTGGTACCAACTTAGCATGGCATATCTTCCACTTGGCCACCAAATTGATTGATAACCAAACCTACATGTATTATGCATCAAGACTATGTAATTCGTACATGCGTTCCAAGCCACTCAGTGGAGCTAGACTGTATGGATATGTGACAAGTAATGGTACAGCATTAATAATAGTAAAAGTACAAAGAAATAGTTTTGATGTTTGTAAATGGATTATAAAAACTATGAAATAAGTTAACGTATTCTCGGGCCGGGCATCCAGACATTTTCACCGCCTGGCAATCATCATTGTGAAATCAAAGGTCAAAAACTTTCAGAGAAAGATCGTCCCTGCATGTCCAACATATATAAATTTGGTTGTCCAGGGTTACTTCAAAGTTGATTTTGTGTTGTTTTCTAGAATTTAGCTATTTTCTCCGGCTCTTCGACTGGAGTTCCATAGGAGCTCGTGCAGAACCCATAGAAATACATGGTAAAGTGGTGCGCGTCTTAGAAACGTGGAACGTCTTGTGAAGTAGCTCACTCCGCCCCCAAGGATATTTCTAACCTATCACAACTTGTATGTCATTCATCTCATTTTGTGTTTACTGTGAGATCTTGCGTAATGCACAAATCGAACGACTGCCACAAGAACGACTGTCAATTAAAAAGCAATTTTATAATTTTTTTCATTGAAAATTAAAATTACAATTGCTTAGAATTTTTTTTTTTTAAAAGTCTGGCTTTGAGGATTAGTGTTGATGTAAAACAGTAAATATCAGTATGTCCCAGAATGCTTGGCAATCATCTATAGTGAAGTTCACTAAACATTACTTAAGTTGTTGATTCAGTAAAACAAAACACTGTAAAATACTTCATTTTTGCTGGAATTAATTTTTGCTATTTTCGCTGAAGGAACGATTCAGTGAAAATCAAATCCAGGGAAAATACCTTTTTCCTGATATATTTTACATTCCACTTGTCAAGAATCAGTGAAAATAAATTCCATACAAAACACCCGTCGTTTCAGCGAAAATTAATTCCAGCTAAAATAAAGTATTTTACAGTAGGTAAACTAGAGACAGATATACATAACTGTAGTATTGAAATGATTTTGCAAGGCATTTGTTCAGAAAGAAACTTTTTTGAAAAGTCTGGGAATATTGTCTCTGACCAACGTTTCATAGTTTTTAATTGTTCTCTTTTTAGTATGGTCTTATGATCATTACAAACAATATAGCCACGAATTGTGTCAATAAAGGAAACACTGTAACCAAATTTTTTCAGACCTTTTCAGTTGCTGCAACTAAGCATAGCTTCATCTCATCTTTTCTTTTTCTCAGAATCTTTTAAGTAATCCAGTATTGGAGTCGCCTGCCAACGATGATGCTGCTCATCTATTTAACACAAATGCATCCAGATATCGAGAATTAGTTTTACAGTGTGTGGCAGCGAGTCAGCGATATCATTGTAAGTAGTCGGTGTTATATTTTAGGTTTGACTTAACCTTATCTCTCTAGTTACAATGTATCATAGTTAACATTACATACTCATTCTCTCTTTGCTGGGTTTTTGAAGAAGATGTCTTTAAGAATGAATTTACAAATGCCTAGTATGTTTAAACATGGAACTATAAACCCCAGGAAGAACAACGAAACTAAGAGGATTAAAAAAACCTTTGTCTTAGTTTATCTTACAGTGCTTTCGCTTTTGTTTCCACGACATTAGTCATACTCCATGTAAGTTGCCGCCGATACGCCTGTTTCAACCGCTTTGCTGGAAACGGAAAACTTGAAAAAAAAATTTCATATCTGCGCAGTAAAATATTTCGTTCACTACGCATGCGCAAACAAGTCGGTCTGCAGGGTGACCTTCAGTGTACCGGAAATCATGCAACGGGTCGGAGTTTTAGCGAGTTTTCATAATTTTTAATGTCGTTTTTAGATTACTTCTTGTTTTTTTCAACCCTCGAAAAAATAAGGTTGCGAAAGTTTGCGAAACATGGGGTTTGGTGAGCTGTTTGTTGTTGAGATATCCCGACTAATTCCGTGTTTGCCTTCGATCGCCAGAAGTGGCAATGTGTTTTTTTTTTCCCGTTGAATGTCGATCATTTATCAGTGTTTTTGTCTTGGCGCCATTGTTTTTTTATGCTATAACCGGAACAACTCGGTCACGTGATCTCCCGGAGTCGTCCGATTGACTCCGAAAATGACCGATAGTCGGAGATAAACGTTCATTTGCGTAAATCGGCTTATTTTTTAAATGCGACAAAATAAACAGTCAAAATAAACATTCGACATCGCGGCAACTATCATAGTTCAAAGGAAACGAAGTGGTTGTTCTTCCTGGGGTTTATAGTTCCATGGTTTAAGGTAGCGGGACTATTATTTGCTTACTTGTTTTCATCTTCTAATTGTGACCAAATGACTACAATTAGACCCAGGAAAGTATATATTTTTAGAATCGCCTACCCCAGACCATTCGTCCCGGTGTTATCGCTATCGCCACACGAGACTCCAGCTTGTCTCCTATACAATTTGACTGCGCACATCCAGAAAGTAGATGTAGCTGTGATTGGTGGAATACTAATGAGTTGAGTGTC